TTCACACCATTCTCCTGCCTCAGCCTCCTGAGTAGCTGGGACTACAGGCGCCTGCACCACATCCCGCTAATTTTTCTTTTGTATTTTTAGTAGAGATGGGGTTTCACTGTGTTAGCCGGGGTAGTCTTCATCTCCTGACCTTGTGATCCACCCTCCTCGGCCTCCCAAAGTGTTGGGATTACAGGAGTGAGCCACCGCGCCTGGCTTAGATTATTTCTTTAAAGTAAATTTTCAAAAGTGGAATTAATTGGGCCAAAAGGTACAGATTTTTTTTCCCCACAAATGTAGCTAAACTGCTTTCTATCTAACAGTGTTCTACCAATTTGTATTTAGTGTAGTTTCACTCTGACACATTCATATTTTTTTCTGGATAGTTTGCAGAGGGAAAATCTTGATAAACATTCAGTTTGGTAAAGATGATGCACAGTAGTTTTCAGATTTTTTTCTTTCTTTTTTTTTCTTTTTTTTTGAGACAAGATTCTTGCTCTGTTACCCAGGCTGGAGTGCAGTGGCACAGTCTTGGCTCACTGCAACCTCCACCTCCCAGGCATAAGCAATTCTCCTACCTCAACCTCTGGAGTAGCTGGGATTAGAGGTGCACGCCACCATACCTGGCTAATTTTTTGTAGAGACAGGGTTTTGCCATGTTGCCCACGCTGGTCTGGAACTCCTGAGCTTCCATGATCCACCTGCTTTGGACTCCCAAAGTGCTGGGATTATAGGCCTGAGCTGTCTCACCTGGCTGGATAAATTTTTAATATGTATTTTATTCTTAACATTTATACTTGCATACAAAAAACCCTAGCAATTTGTCTCAAATTTCATCATAGGATCAAAAGAAAATGTTTTATATGACTCATAAATTATCCTGAAGAACCAGATAATGATACCCTGGCTTACTGTTAATTTTCTAATCTGTTACACTATTAAACTAAGAGACAGTAACATCTTCATAGCTGAAAATTCTATTTCAGATTTTTGATTCAGTTTGAATTTACATGTTTGTATTTTTAGAACTAGTTTATTATTTTTTTGGTTAGGTGATGAATCAAGATTGGTTCTCTAAGTTATTTTAATATGGTAAACTTTGAAATTGCTTTGGGCAAGAGAGATTATATTTATTGAGAAATTCAAATAAAATGAGGTATGTGGTCTTTTTTAGTGATTAATTTTTTTATTGTGGCAAAAATATAAAATTTATCATCTGAACCGTTTTTAAGTGTACAGCTCAGTAATGTTAAAAGCATATTTAGGTCATTATGAACAGATCTCCAGAATTTTAGCCTCCTGAAAAGATCCAGAGACCCCTGGAGCTTTTCCTACTATATTTTGAAGAACCTCTATCTTAGAGAATATATTACTTCATCTGGAGAAAACAAAGACTCAAAGAGAACTCTGGAAATATCGTCTTTTAAAAAATATCATCTAAAAGATTAATAATTCTTTTTATCATCTTATCCGGTCTGTGTTCATATTTCCCCATTGTCTAATAATGTTTTCATAATTTTTTGAAATTAAGAACCAAACAAGGTTCACACACGTTACATTTGGTGGTTGATATGCCTTTTATTTATTTTTTATTTTTATTAATTTATTTTTCTGAGATGGAGTCTTGCTCTGTTACCCAGGCGGGAGTGTAGTGCACGATCTCAGCTCACTGCAACCTCTGCCTCCCCAGTTCAAATGATTCTCCTGCCTTAGCCTCCCGAGTAGCTAGGATTACAGGTGCGTGCCACCATGCCTGGCTAATTTTTTATAATTTTGGTAGAGACAGGGTTTCACCATGTTGGCCAGGCTGATCTTGAACTCCTGACCTCAGGTGACCTGCCTGCCTCGGCCTCCCAAAGTGTTGGGATTACAGGCGTGAACCACCCGGCCCAGCCTTGATATGCTTTTAAATTTTAATCTAGGTTGTCTCTTCCTTTTCTTCCTTTATAATTTATTTGTTGAAGAAACAGGGTCATTTGTTCTACATAATTTTCCTCATTCTGGTTTTGGCTGAGTGTATCTCTGGTAAAATTTAACATGTTTTTCAGTTCTCTGTATTTCCAGTAAATTTACAGGTAGAGACAGACTTGATTAGATTTACTTTCAATTCTTTTTTGGCAAGATTCCTAGTTGGTGATGTGTATTTCTTTACATCAAAAAGATATATTTTGTGATGTTAAAATCAAACAGTTTAGGTTTTGTCAGCTTGATTCATCCGTTACAAAATTCCCAATTAACTTTAATAATAGCATCTATTGCTAATTGTTGCCTCACTGCAGTATATTAGTAGGTGTTGTAAAAGGTGATATTCCTTCTCCAGCCTTCTAGATTTATTGGCTGAGATTCTTCAGGAATGAAGACCTCTTCTTCATATACCACTTTATTACCCTGAAAGTATTTATACAGGAAAGGCCAAAATAAAATGGGACTTTTTTTTCTTTTCACCTACACATTCCCAGAATAATTTGTGCCTTAGGAGCCTCAAAACATGACTAGAGGTTTGTTGTTGTTGTTGTTTTTAGTATTATAA